TGATTTGTCCACCAGAAGTTGACTGATACAAGCAAAAATACTTCAACAGAGCAAGTATTTTCTGCTTTTCGGTCCAGAACTTCACTCACAGCCTCCATAATTCTCTTGATTTCTGATCCAGGGTCCATTGAGATCAGCAAGTTTCTCTCCACTGGTTACAGTGGGATTTGGATCAGGTTTTACAGTAAGATTGAGAAACTTAATTTCATTTTCAGGGATTATGCAATAAAACTAACATGAGACTATTTCAGCCCACAGAGTGCAAACTGCTAGAAATTGTTCCCTGTGAATTTTGCTTAGTGGATTTTGTCTCTGGACATCAAGCGCCTTGAAGGTTAGCAACCCTTCTCATGAGTTTGTATATGGAGTAATTTCATTGAGAGAACTCAAAAGAGGGCTTAAATGGGGCTTGAGCAATCCAAAGGAACTCCTTCCTAACCCTCCAAAGACCTTCATCATAAGCTGTTTATTTTCTTCCATTTTATTCCACTTATCATGCTTTAGAATATTGCTGAACTTACCATGATTTAGGATTCAGCTTGCAAATGAAGACAATTTTCTAACCGTCTCTATATAATTATACTAGATGTTTCCTGCTTAGCTTTCAGGTGGTATTTATCTAGTATCCTGCCTGCCATTCTCAGGCACGTATTAAATACCCTAGAACACCTCAAATTGCTCTAGGTATCTATATTTAGACAATTGTATTGAGATGACTGACTAGACAGTGAAAGAGGCGGGCATGTCCAATAGGGATGTACCATGTGTATCAGGTGGTTTTCCTCAGTTCCATTGACCTCTCCCCAGAAATACTGATTGCTGTCCACCAATGTCCAAGAAACCTAGACTGTAAAAGATGACTTAAAATTAAGTGTGATGAGTTAATGGAGAAATAATAGAGCAGGGCATTCCTCTCTCCATCAAAACTCCTTCAGGTGATCACCAGATTAGAAGTATTCACAATCAGTTGCCTTCATTTTTTGCAGTTAAATTGGACTGGGTTGTAATACTGTTTTCTTGTAATATGGTATCCTGGCATGGGTACTCAAGAACCCTGCTATGGCAGCCTGAGGGAAGTGGGGAATCTGTTTACTAGAGGGATTTCCTTACAGGCTACTGCTAGGAAGAGATAACGACATCTCTGAGATGTTAGAAGAAATCTGTGCTCACCAAACAGTAGACACCATATAATTTCACTGAGGCATCTTCTGATCTATCCCCCACATTAAAAGAGAGCACCAAATATCTTCAGGTTTTTTTGCTGCTTTAAAATGAAACACATCCCGATGACATTTATTTTTCTCCACTGATTGTGACAGCTAAAGCAGATAAGAAAAGAACATCTACCTTCTATTCTTTCAGTTCCACCACATTTTTCCTCTAGCTATATGAACATAACAACCACCTCTCCTACAACAAATCACAGAGTCACACTATTGCTGAGATTGGAGGAGACCTCTGGCAATCATCTCCTTAAAGAAATCCCATTCCAAAGACAATTACATCAGGTTGTTCAGGTGTCCAGCTGGGTTTTTATTATCTCCAAGGATGGAGACTCCACAACATATCTGAGCAACCTGTTCCAGCATTTGGCCACCATCACAGTGAAAAAATCCCACATTTTCTTATGTTGAAATGGTACTACCTGTATAAATAAGTTTTAAAATAATCCAACCCAGGAAAGGTCGGAGAACAACGGTCTCTAAAGTCCTGACTTTTCACCAACTGCAAGAAAATTTAAAGGACTCTTTAAAATAATTTAATATTTACTGCAGTGATAGTCTCCCTATCTATATATATTGTGCTGACATGTTCTAATACTGACTTTACTTATATTGGGATTATGCCACATTCGATACCATACAGCTGAAGTTAATTATGACTGTATTCCTAAAACAGCAATTAACAGCAGCAACTCATTGAAATAATGTGGTCTTTGAGAAGAAGGACAGACCTGGGACCCTGGAGTCTGATATTCAATATTCAGCTTAGATGATGCCTCCTGATAACTACTGAGTGGTCATGTCTGATGGCATTAATCTGCCTTATCTTAGATGTCTACATCTCTCCTAATCATTCCAAGGTGCTTTTATGACAAGCAAGAAAGAAGCATCTCCAGAGCATGATTTATCTCACAGTAGAAGAGATGTCCTGTGCAGGGTACAAGAATTGCCCTTTCTACATGGACTATGCAGCCTTGGTTGACTAGTTCATTCCTACACAAGTAACTTGTAAATGTCCAAAATTCTGAGGCAAAATCAAGCTATTATTTTTGTATAAATTTTGTATTATATTTGTTTTCAACACTTACAGAAGGATACTTGTTCCTTGGTTTTCACAATTTATGCAGGAGAGATGATGACAATGAAGCATCAATGAAGCATTATGATGTGCTGTTGTCCCAGATTTAGAATTTCTACAGTTATTAATTCAAAGAGATTAAGCTTGCAAGATACTACAGATAAAAACTATGTTATAGGTATAAACACTGCTAAAGAGCTGATGATGCCAGAAATACTACATGACATACTCTTTATTTTAAGTCACATAACGCAAGTGTATTCCATATGAACAGATTTGGTTTGTGCAGCATACATAAATTCAGTAACTCAGCTGGCTCAGCTCCACTGATTCCTGAAGCTGTGTCATTGGCACCATCTATTTTCTACACACACAACGCAGTGGTGATGAGTGTGATTGAAGCATCTATACACAGACACAGTACCATGTGAGGAAATGTCCTGGGCAAAAAATAGATTTCACTGAAAATTGTCCTTTACAAATAGGAATAGTTCCTAAACTTAGTAGTGGTTTAAAGACAGATTGTTTTACATTAGGGTCAGAAAGGATTTCATGTTTGGTTTTATTCCTTGTCTCCCTCTTTATCCTTTTCTCTTTCTCCTTTTTTACCCTCTTTTTCTTTTTTTTTTTTTTCCCTTCTTGTATTAGGGCAGGGCAATAGATCTCCCTAAATGAATAAAAAAACAAACAACAACAACAACAAAGTGAAGAAGGAAAAGGAATATACAAAAGGTGGCAAAAACTTTCTCAAAATATTTCATTTATTAAATTATGGCCTTTCTATAAACTTTTTAAGTGAGATAGAAAGATGTTTCCTTTAGAAATACATGGACCAGAAGTGGATTTATTGGCAACATTTACCTCTAAAGGAGCAGGAATCTGTCTTGTGATGCGAACTACCTAGACAAAGCTTGGACCTCTCTTCCATCTTGCTGCTGCAATATCTTAATTTGAAAGTCTGAAGTTCAGCTTTAGAGAGCAAAGCCTCTCTTACTGTGGACTTTTATAGCAACAAACCTAATGGGCCTCAGGTTGCAAGTGTTATAATGCAAAGACTAAAAGAAAAATAATGGGAAGATGATGAGATTTTAGTGTATTTCCACTAAAAAGTTGCTGCCATATGCTTTACAGTAAGAAAAATTACCAGAAGTGTTTAACTGGATCTTGAGTGTGGTTCTATCCGTCTCTGTCTTGTTCTTTCACCCTCCACAAGTTTACCTTCTTCTTCCTTGCACAAGATCCAACACTATTATCTTAGTACTTCTTAAAGCCCTGGTGGTACTAACTAACTCTAAATGCATTTCACAAAATGAGGGCTTGGGCTCTGAGGGAGGCCTGATTCTTCATTCCTTTGCTGTAGCAATATTTAGAGTATGAGGTCCACCCTTCATGCACTGTTATGCCAGGCATGTGTGGCGCTGCAGAACTGTCATCGCAGCTGCTGTGATATTTGTTCTCTTCCATACTTGGTTGCTAGCTAAAGGACTGATGATTAACTGACACAGTGAGGTCAGGGTGCATCTTACAGGCAGGATAGTGTTTAGTCCACCACTGGTGCTAGAAAGCATCTTGATAACCCATTGTGTGGTCACTTGCTATTGGTGAGTTCCCATATGTTTTAGAGATGTTCTCCTGATGTAGCAGGCTGAGGAAGAAGGGACATCCTAGCTGGATTGTGGAGGTCCCTGACAGGTCAAAGCTGCTGGGTGTTCATAGAATCATAGAATCATAGAATAGTTAGGGTTGGAAAGGACCTTAAGAGTCCTGTCAGGCAGCAAGTGAGCCTTCTCATCATTTTAGAAGCCATCAAGTATTTTACTTGAGAACTTAACTTCAGTCTTTCAAATTAAGAAGTTGCAGCAGCAAGATGGAAGAAGGATCCAGGCTTTGTCTAGCCAGTTCACATCACAAGACAGTCCTTCTCCTTTAAAGGACTAAACTTTGCATTTGGGTAAAAGTGACTCTCTGCCATGTCTAGCCCTGCTCCCTGTTACTAGCTGCAGCTGACATGAAGGACAGGATGTGTAATCCAGAAACAGGTCATGCAGTGAAGAGGCAGCGTCTAACCCTTTAGAATGGAGGTTCCTTCACAGGTACTTCCTGCTTTGAGGGACCATGTCCCACATTGTCCTGTATTAAGACAATACATGAAGTAATATTTGAGACAGTATTTGAGATAATATTAGGGGAAGTCACAGTTCTTGTCCCTTCCTGAGCACAGAAAGAAAGGGAATTAATGGTCAACTTGAAATGTAGCATTTACCAGGTAAAAATCACTGTCCCATATGCTAATTAGAAGAATTAATTGTATTTTTTGCAAGGGAAACTGAAAATCCTCTAGTTCCATTCCCTTCCTCACTATCTCACTGATTATACCTGAATCTTTCTCAAGATGTAAAACCTTGTAAAAAAATGAAACAGTTCTCCCTTAGGCAATATCTCCCACCCTTCTTGGGAGATCTTCTTCAATCTCTTTATCTTCCCTATCTTAGATGATCTGATTAAAACATAGCAGAGCTTCTCTGTCAATGCAAGAAAACTGCAAGAAAACCTGCAAACAGGCTTTGGTAGACCCTGAAGTTCTCCAGAACCAAGTTTATTTTATTTTAGGTGACAACTAACTGTCAGTTGATTTTGGGCTTGGGAATCTACCTCTGCTCTGTCAGCTCATGATGATCCACTTGCTCTTCTCTTTCTAGATCGACAGCATGCAGGCTCTACTTCACTGCCCCAATGTGCTGGTGTGTGTCGGCCGGGAGCCATTTAAACCTGTATTGATGGAGAATTTGAGGAAACACTCAGTGGAGAAGCTGCCCAACCTGGTTCCCCGTTCCAACAGCAACAATGTCAATGAAAACAATGAAAGTAAGAAAAACTCTGGGGCATATTGCACAGTCATCTCCAGGCCTGTGTCCCACAACATGCAGATTACAGGCACCTATTGTACTGCCTCCATGCGCAGATTTCATGTGGAAAATGTGCTTCCCTCTCTCTGCCTCCCAGGCCTTTCTATCCTCCCCTTCTTTTTCTCTGATTTCCTTCTAGGATTTCCTCCCTACACCCTCCAGTCTTTCTTTTACATGCCACCCGTGTCTGGCTGACTTCCCTTCCTCTTTCATATCTCTGTGTCTCCTTTTCCTTCCAGAACTCCCTCCTTTCCTGTGTCTGCCTCTGAGACTCCCCAAACTCTTGAGATTTCCCACGAATCCTCTATCCCCTTGTCTGTCTGTCATATAATGCTTCCACTTCTGCATTTGCCTGCACCAGGATAAGAAGATGCCCTTTTTTTGTCAGCAGGAGACTCAGTTTCTCCTGCAGGTTACAGCCACAGTGTAGCTCTTTGGGAACATGTTTTTATGGAAAGGCTATGTTCAGGAAGGAGTACGTTATGGATTATTCAGGGTGATATTTCTTAGGCACTTCTTCATGAGTTATCTAAGGTCGCAGGTAATCAAATCAACTACCCTCAGTAGCCTATGAAAAGAAACTTCCCATTTCCAAAGGGCAATTAATCTCATCTATACTAGAGATTTGTTTTAGGATGAAATGAAGCATGCTCTGAAGGTGCACCTGTTTCTCTCCATTGTCAATACCAGGAGCCAGGAAATGCTCGCTCATGTTTTGACAGCTAGTTGTAGGAACTTAAGAACAGAGGCAATCCACAATCTCTGAGACATAAAAAATTGGAGGGAGCAGTGTGAATAAGCTGAAGCTTTGTCCATCTAGAGGCTGAGCAAATATATCAGCTCAAATGCATAAGGATGGTTAGATAAGAGTCATTTCGTGTGTTATTGATCTTAGTTAGTGTGCTTTCTGTTCTAAAATGCCCTCCATTTAGCTGCATATCCATATGCCTAGATATATAAAAGTAAACTTTGAATAAACATATATTAGAAACAAGATAGATGCATATCTTGCAAGAGAGCATGATTACAATGTACTCTGCTTGAAATTAAGGGTCTAGGACCTCAATAAATCTATTCAGGTCACTGCACTGGGCCATAGAGATATGCTTTGGATTACAATTCTTAAAATTCCCTTACTGTCACTGAGTTCTTCTATAACTGCCACTGGTTTTCTTTGTAACTATCAATCATCAGCTTATGATTCCTTTGCCATTTGTTCTTTATGTTTTAATAAACATTATAGTTATTTACAGTGGAACACCCTTACAGGGTCTGAGTGCTGCTCTGGTCTACATGGCCATATCTGTGTTTCTTGGCATGTGAGTGGAGAAGTAGATGATGCACAAGAAATGTGTGATACTTGCCCTCTTGCTAAGGAAGAGAGTGACTTCTCCACATATTTTTCACTAACTGCATAAGAAAGATGAAAACTTGCACAGTTAAATAAAAGGATATTTGCAACATGATGGAACAGAGAAACTCTGAGACTAAAACTCTCTCTGTATAAACATTTTTCTTCTTGGCATGCACTTAATACAACAAAAAAAGGTGTTTGTGTTTCAATTTAGATAAAAAAATTAAATTCAGGTATAGAAGATTTTAATGCAGATTATTAATTCAAAACTTACTTAACATTTATGGCCATCACTTAGTCAAAGCCAAATTTTTAAATTCTGAAAACTGCTATAGGCTTAGCTTTAATAGAATAATATCAGTATTAATTAGTTTGAGGATTTGATCTATATATTTTGTGTCATCCTTATGTGAGTTAACAATTGTCTCCATCTTTTCTTCACTTATTTCAAACTCCAGTGGACTTTGGACTGAAAGCCAAAAAAAGTGTTATCCATCCACGGACAGCATCAAGCAATAGGTCAATGAGATTTTCTTTATCATCAGAAAAATCATATCCTAATGGTCTTGCTGCCTCACCAGACAACAGTGTACCTTTCTCAAACAGTTGTTCGCATCCAAAACCTGGGGACCTGGTCCATTCCTTGGTCAACGATGACATAGAAAAACGGGTACATGTGAACAAGGATGGTAGCTTGTCCGTTGAGATGAAAGTCCGCTTCCGCTTGCTGAATGATGAGACTTTGCAGTGGTCCACCCAGATCAAAAAGTCCAATCTGATGAACCAGATGCCTTGCGAAGAGTCAGGAGTAGAGGAGGACAATGGAGTACACTCCATACAGAAGATGAACCCAGAAGCCAGCTCAGAGGCAGATGAGTCATTATATCCCTGTGATATTGATTCTTACATGTCAAAACTTGAGGAATCGGAATGTGATGAGGCTCATTGTCATAGCTGTGGAAAGAAACACCAAGACTATGACATCTGGAAAAACCCCATGCACACATCCCAGAGAGGAGAGCCCAGTGTACGAAGCACCTGGCACACACGATCATCATGCTCCAGCACGTCTTCCCGGAGGAGGGTAATTCACAAAAAAATGGCTTCTGTGGATAGCCTCCGCACCACATCCAGTGAGGAATTCTCTGAGCACATTGTGCAGGAGTCCTCATCCTACTCAGAGACTATAGAGAATAGAGTAGCATATCGATCCATTAAAAAGTGTATGTGTCGAAGTGATTTGTCTACAGGTGCTTCCAATGGCGAAGACCAGCAAGAACACACTCGGACAAGCACGAGCAATAGTCAGAGACCTTCATCCTTGGGTTTAATGTCACATTCAAGCTGTGAAAACAACCTGGATACTCAAGAAACCCCTGAAGACCATGAGGCCAGCAAAACCAATTCACAAAATGAAGATGAAAGTTGTTTTGAAGTCTCCTCTGTGAAGTGCTTAAAGGATGATGTGGAAGACATTGAAAGCAGCAGAGCTGGGAGTGGCATGTCAAGGTCATCTCTGCAGTCCAGAAAAAGCAAGAAGAATGTATGTGCGGAAACAAGTAGCATGGGTAGGAGCATGTCCTCCTCAAGCCTTCAGAAGGCAAATCAAGAAGATAACACTAGATCCTCCACTCCTGCTGACAGTGTGCACAGCAAGTCTAGTAACTGTACCACGCCAAGAGCAAAGATTGAACAGGATGACCATTCTGATGACAATGCAGTGGTGTCCTCTTTCTCCAGTGAGTCCAGCCCTAAGAAAGAGGCTGAAGAGGCTGAAGCAGAACAAGAAGAAAATGAAATCAATGAAGTCAGCTCAGTGTCAGCAAAAACAAAGCCCAGTCAATCAGTTAGAGATGAAAGCAGTGAAGGTGAACGATGCTCTACACAAGGAACCCCTCATTCCAGAGCTAGTGACAGGAACAGCAAGAGAAGTGACAGTGATGAGGTCATTCTGTGCAATGCTTCTTGCTCCTCCAGAGGATCCAAAAAGAGCAAACACAGCCATATTCATTTGGATGCACGGTCTGAAATGTCTGTGTCTTCACTTGAATCTACTCTGAATAAAAAGAAGAATTCCCTCCATGCAGATGATCTGAGATCATGCAGCAGGACATCTAATTACTCCAAAAGCTCATGTGAAATCAAAAAGAAGTCTATTGGAGACCCCATGTCTCATAAGTCAGGATCTTTTCATTCAAACATTTCATCTGTTAGTGAAAGAGAGGCAACTGCTGGTTTTACAGAGAAGAAAAGCTTGAAAAGTACCACCAATGGCTACAGTGAGTCTTCAAAAGGCTCAAAGAAGAGAAGCCATAGGGAAGAAAATAGCAAATCATCATCTGTCTGCTCAAGTGTTTCAAGCCCTAATGGAAAAGCTGGAGAGGGTCATTCCAAGATTAATTCAGAGGCCCCTTCTTCAAGACAGGCAAGTATGAGTGAGAGTGTATGTTCAAAAGTTGACCATTCAGCTGAGACTGGCATTAAGAATGGAAATACTGCAAGTGCCTCTTCAAGAGTCTCATCAAAGTCAGAAATAAAAGATAAATGCTTGTTAACACATATAGCCCAGGAAAGTGATGATAGGTGTTCACAATCAAACATATCTAAATATTCAAAATCAAGGCAGATAAAAACTGGAAATCTTCGTGTGGAGATGTCAAACTCCAGCCAAGCATCACTGCCTGACACTATGTCAGTATGCAGTATGCACTGCCCTGCCCCACCAAAAGGGAAGCCGAACAGCAAAAAAATTCGTTCAACCATGTTCAAGAACTCCTCCATTAGCAGCATAGGTACTGAGTCAGTGATGACCCCACGAAAAGAGCAGAAAGAAATTATTGATTCCTCCAAAGCAACTTCCTATGGGTCTAAATCAGCTGCAATTGAAATAAATGACCAGAAGAGTAAAGAGATTGATGGTTCTTGCAATAAAAAAGTGGAAGAAGATTTAGAAGGCATGGACATGGAAGAGGAAGGGAGTGAATTAGTGCCATCTAATCTACCAAATACATCTCCAGAAGAGGTTGTGCAAGAATGGCTAAGTAAAATCCCTTCAGAGACATTGCTTATGAAATATGAAATGGAGGATAATGTAGAAGAAGAATGTATGGAGGCAACCACTGAGGTATCATACTGCTCAAATGCTGAGGAAATCTCAGAGGATGAAAAAGCTGAGAAAAAGAATATGGAGGAGGTTGAAAATGAGCCAAAGGAAGAAGTGGGAAAAGAGGCAGCAGAAGTTACAGCTATTAATGAAGAAGCTGAAGAATGTGTGAATCAGGAACAAATCTCTGAGGTTGTGTCCGAAGCTGCCAAAGCTGACCAGGCAGAACGCAGCCAGTCAGGTACATCCCAACAAAATAGCAACAGAAGAGACCTGCCAACCACTGTCCAGACTTCAGTCCAGATCATGAAGGCCTTGCTTAGTTCAAAACATGAAACAAAATTTGACCGATCAAACAGTTTGCCTGAAGTGTCCCCTACTATGGGGAGGAAGCTGAGTAACTCTGCCAGCATTCTGATTACTTGTCTTGCCAGTCTCCAGCTCCTCGATGAAGAGTCAGAAGGTCCATCAGATAAATCAAAATGTTTGAATAAGTCAAGGTATATGGAGCTGCTAAATGTTTTTCAAGCCCTGTGGTTTGGATGCATACCTGAAAAAAGAGGCCCAAGTTCAGGTCAAGCAGTATGTGAGCAGGCAAAGACAGCCTCTGGGTTTAAAACCCCCAAATCTGTGGATTATGATTTCACTCCGATGTCCTCCTCTGGGGTTGATGTTAACAGTGGTTCTGGTGGCTCAGTGGAAGAACATACAGCTGGTGGCAGGGACTGCACTTCGATGGCACAGAAAACTGCTGAGTTCAAATCAGCTGGACAAGTGGAAAATTTAGAGACTGGTGCTGAACTGATTGAGGCTGAGGAGCAAAGTAAAAAGGAAGAGCAGTCATCCCGAACTTCAACAGCCTGCTCAAAACCAAAAGCTGAGGAAAAAGCACAGTCTACTGGAGAGAACTCTCTAATTCAACAGGCAGAAGAGAATAAGGAGGATCAGTGCAGTAACTGCGAACATGGTCAGGAGGAAGAGGGAGAAAATGAAGACAAAGAAAACAGCAAATTAACTGAAAATAGAGAACAAGAAGAAGCTGCAGTTGTAAACTATGAACTCCCAAAAGAAAATCTTGAAGAGGAAGCTGATCAGCCAGCCGCTAGTGACAATACAAACATTAATGATGCTGACTGTGAAACAGAGCTGAAAGCTGATTTGGAAGAGCAGCTTGAGAAAGAGTCTTCAAATGGCCCAGAGCCCAAAGTTGATACAGTCACCAGTGTGGGTACATCCTTTGTTCAGCAAAACTCAATGGATCCAGACCCAGTCTGGGTCCTGAAACTACTTAAGAAAATCGAGAAGGAGTTCATGGCTCACTATGTCAGTGCCATGAATGAGTTCAAAGTCAGATGGAACCTGCAGGACAACCAGCAAATGGATGAAATGATATTGGAACTGAAGGAGGAAGTGAGTAAAAGGATACAAAAAAGCATAGAGAAGGAGCTGAGAAAGATCAAAACCAGAGCAGGAAAGAAGCTGCCAAGACCTCCAGATGAACCACTCAAACGTGAGTCAACACTCCAAACTGAGCAGAGGAGACGGCGATTGCAAACTATGCATAAAAAGTCACACTTCAGTGACAAGAATGGAAACCAGACTAGGCTAGAGGATGCATCAGACTTATCTTTTGATGTAGGTAAAGATACAGCATTTAGTGAAGCTTTTGAGGCCAGTATTAGTAAACAAACAAGCGAGGAGGAATACTGCCCATGTGACTCTTGTGTGAGGAAACAAATGGCTTCCAAACCCACAAGAAATCCAGTGGTGGCCGCCAATGCCCCAGTCATGAAAGCATTTGATTTACAGCAAATCCTGAGGTTAAAGAAAAATTATAATGAGGAAGCCTGTGTCTCAGAAGCAGCCCAAGAAATCAAAACAATTCCCAGTAGTTCTGTGGAAGAAGCAGCAGAAAATGGCAATCCAAATGAGGAGAATGATGAGGGTGAAATGGAAGTGGAGGGCAATGAAGAAAAGGAGCCAGAATTAAACAAAGTGGACAACTCAGTGTTGAATGAAGGTGGAGAAGGGTCTGAAATATCAGAAAATCAAAACTGTGAGGTGGAGAATGAAATTAAAGATGAAGAAATCAATGAAGAAGAAAATGAAGAAGCAGAAGAAGTGGGGGAAGAAACAGAAGAGAGAGGAGAAGGAGAGGAAGCAAAAGAGGAGAAGGAAGAGGAAGAAGAAATAATGAATGTAGAAGAAGAAGAGGAAACAAAAGAAGAGGAGGGGGGAGAAACAAAAGAGAAAGAAGATGAGGATTTAAAGGAGGAAGGAGCAGAGGAAACAATGGAGGAAGAGGAAATAAATGAGGAGAAAGAGAAGGAGGAGGAGGGAGGGGTGAAGGAGGAGGAAGAAGAAACAAATGAGGAGGGGGAGGAAGTGCGGGAGGAAGTGCAGGAGGAAGAGGAAGAAACAAAAGAAGAAGAGGAAGACATGAAGGAGAAGGAAGAAGCAAAAGAGGAGGAAGAAGAAACAAATGAGGAGGGGGAGGAAGTGCGGGAGGAAGTGCAGGAGGAAGAGGAAGAAACAAAAGAAGAAGAGGAAGACATGAAGGAGAAGGAAGAAGCAAAAGAGGAGGAAGAAGAAACAAATGAGGAGGGGGAGGAAGTGCGGGAGGAAGTGCAGGAGGAAGAGGAAGAAACAAAAGAAGAAGAGGAAGACATGAAGGAGAAGGAAGAAGCAAAAGAGGAGGAAGAAGAAACAAATGAGGAGGGGGAGGAAGTGCGGGAGGAAGTGCAGGAGGAAGAGGAAGAAACAAAAGAAGAAGAGGAAGACATGAAGGAGAAGGAAGAAGCAAAAGAGGAGGAAGAAGAAACAAATGAGGAGGGGGAGGAAGTGCGGGAGGAAGTGCAGGAGGAAGAGGAAGAAACAAAAGAAGAAGAGGAAGACATGAAGGAGAAGGAAGAAGCAAAAGAGGAGGAAGAAGAAACAAATGAGGAGGGGGAGGAAGTGCGGGAGGAAGTGCAGGAGGAAGCGGAAGAAACAAAAGAAGAGGAAGACATGAAGGAGGAGGAAGACGCAAAAGAGGAGGAAGAGGAAGAAACAAAGGAGGGAGAGGAAGTGCAGGAGGAAGCGGAAGAAACGAAAGAAGAGGAGGAAGACATGAAGGAGGAGGAAGACGCAAAAGAGGAGGAAGAGGAAGAAACAAAGGAGGGAGAGGAAGTGCAGGAGGAAGCGGAAGAAACGAAAGAAGAGGAGGAAGACATGAAGGAGGAGGAAGACGCAAAAGAGGAGGAAGAGGAAGAAACAAAAGAGGAGGAGGAGGAAGAAGCAAGAGAGGAGAAAGAGGAAGAAGAGGAAGAAGTAACCAAGGAGTATGAGGAAGCAAAAGATGAGGAAGAAGCAAAACAAGAGAAGCAGGAAGTGGGAGAAGAGATAGAAAATGCCAAAGAGGAGGAGGAGGAAGAAGCAAAGGAAGAGGAAGAGGAAGAGGAAGTTAATGGGGAAGAGGAAGAACAAGGCGAAACTCAAAATGAAGAACAGGAAGCTGAAGCCGACAGTAAAGCTGAAGAAGAGGATGAGGACATTGGGGCTGATGATGAGGAAGAGACATTTGAATGCAGAGGAGATGCTGATGGCTCTGGAACCGTCAACAGTCCTGAAGAAGAAGCTGCAGAAGGAAGTGAAAAAGATGAGCAGCATGAGGCTGAAGCAGTGGAAGGCACAAATCCAGAATCAGATGAGGTGTGTTCAGCTAAAGAGGAAAACAACAGTGAAGGACGTGACAAATATGAAGACAACATTGAGAAACCTACTAGTGATGACCCTGACAAGGCACAAGAAAAACATGAAGTCAAAGGTAGCAAGGTTTCTGAGAGAGTCTTAAAGGCCAAAGATAGAAAAAGCAGTAAAAGGCTACGGACTCTGGACAAAGCAGCTGCCTTTTCTTGTTATTCTTCTGTAGGAAACTTCTCACAGCAATCTCAGAAGGGGTCTGATGATGAAGGTGAAGAAGAATGCACAGATGGCTATAACTCCATGAGCAATCATCCCAATGGAGAAATGCAAAGTGATGAGAGCAGCAGACCCTCACAGATGTATCCTGACAGTGAGGAAGAAGAAGAGGACAAAGCATCTTCATGCACTGATCCTTTGGAAGATGAGGAGCAGGCAGAGGCTGACGGTACAGATTCAAAGGAGGTTGAACATACTGATAAAGTTCAGACTTCTAAGAAGAAAGAAGGCTCTAATGAGATTGGCCAGGATGACCTGGACTTCTAGAACTGCTTATTAAAACCTGCTTTTTTCTTTCTTCCTTTTCTTCTTTTTTTAAAGTATATTTTCATTGCATGTTACAGTATCTCCAGTGAGTTGAGCCATCATAATTGGCTTTTCTTCTGAGTTACATGAGGTAGACTTGATCTTGAATCCTGTGAGTAATTTTGCAATTACCTGTCCTCATTTCTAGAGGGCTACTAAACTCTTTAAGATGTAGTGGTTTTGATAGAAAAGTGGTCTGGGGAAAGGGAAGGCTGTTTCATTTGTGATACCTTCTTGTGCCCACTCTTTAAGCCGTGCTGTTTGCTGCTTGAGTGATCTGTGGCTCTGCTGGGCATCATCTCTGAGTGACTTCAGGATGCCTTTTGTTTGTTGCATGCCATTTTCCTGGAAAGATTGCCAATCCATAGAAACAAGACAAAATCTGGATTCATTGCCAAAGTCTGGTCAGTGCCCACAGAGATGTACATTCACTTCCTCCCTACCCTACCCTACCCTACCCTACCCTACCCTACCCTACCTTCTCTGGACCCAGAAAAAGGGTCTGAGATATCAAAGTCTTTCCTCACTTTCCCTATTTTTCTTTAATAGAGGTTGACATCATTCCTCACTTCACTGGAAGTCCTTGACACCAAGAAAGGTTATTCCAGTAGAGCACTCCTCTTTCAGACCACCCATCTGTTTGTACTGTGCTCATTACCATAGTACGTAATCATGTACTGATAGGTAAAAAAGATGAGTTAATTCACCTGTCAGGTGTCTGAGAAGTGGTTGAATGCAGTATTGACCAAATTAGAAATTAGTAAAGTTCCGTTCCTTGTAATTACCTTTACTATGCCAATGATAGTACCTAAGCACTTTACAATCATCTGGGATCCCTCAGACAATTTTGTATGAGGCCCTGTTCCAAAGCTAATAGGATCTGCAATTGTTCAGTGCCTCGCCCTTGCAGACAACCAATAAAATTTTAACTAATTTTAGTTTTAACATGGAAAAGGTTTGGGCATTTGTGCTGCAACAAACAGCTGGAAGAGGCTCAAGCATTTACTGGAGATGCTGGACTTACTTAACAAATCATGATAGAACTGCAAACTAAATTTAACAAATGTTTTCTACCAAATTGTATCTTCAGGAAACAGTTTATTTTATCAATATTTTGCAAGGACAATAAAACAGCAAAAAAATAAGAGGGTGAAAACAAAATGCCTTAAATTGTGTGGTGGAAAAGTATGTGTGTAGTATTGTGCCAGGATTGTGAAAGTGATGCAGACATGTTGAAATAATTAATATTCAAAATCAAATAATTTATATTGTTATCATTTTAAGAATCAGTTTCTTAAACTCATAGCCAACCCATTGATTTCCAGACATAGGATTCATTTCACTCAAATTAAGAATTGGGTTCAGCTCTGAAGGTGCATACTTAATTTTAAGTGTCTGAGAAATAGGGGTTTATGTGGAGTAGTTAGTGGAGAGGGAGATCTCAGCTGATGTGCCCTCACAAAGGCTTACAGTGCCATCCATCTGAGATCCTCCACAAGGATGCCCTTCTTTTTAGGAAGATAAGATCTGTGCTTTCCTTAAAAGAAGGGCAACCCTACCCATTAGCCTCATGTGGATGTCTTGGGCTTCCTAGGACATCTCACGTGGAACTATGTGTCTCTCTAGATGCAACTCAGTTGAACCCTGACTGTCTCAAAGTTTTATATATTGTCGCATCTGATAGTCTTAGTTCCATGTTTTCTTCTGCAGACATTATGATATCTAAGATTGCTAGCTTCCAGACACCTTAGAGTCTATGAAGTTTAAACATGTAAGTTTGCTGCTAGTTGAGATGGAGTAGGGAACCCAGTATCATGCCTTAGTGTTGGCCTAAAGGGGTGCAGATCTCCTTTAGGTCCAGAGTTGTATCACAAGCTCCTTGTAAATGTCAGGGATGCTTGAGGGCAACTTAAACTGGATTAGTCGTGGTTGTAAAAAAAACTTAATCCCCCCCCCTAAAATTGTGTAAGCAAATCCTACCTCAAGAAACTGAAGTACAAGGTTAAAACTCAATTGGCTTTGAAGTAGGTGCCGTGGTTTAACCCCAGGTGGCAACCAAGCCCCACACAGCCACTTGCTCACTACTCCCTGGTGGGATGGGGGAGAGAATACGAAGAGTACAAGTGAGAAAAATGGTGGTTTGAGGTGAAGACTGTTTGTTAGGTAAAGCAAAAGCCTAATTTGCAAGCAAAACAGACCAAGAAATTCATTCACCACTTCCCATCACAGACAGATGTTCAGTCCTCTCCAGGAAAGCAGGGGTCCATGAAACGTGACGGTTACTTGAGAAGACAGATGACATCACTCCAAACTTTTCCCCCTTCTTTCTTCTTCCCCCAGCTTCATATGTTGAGCATGACATCATATGATATGGAATGTCCCTTGAGTCATAGGGATCAGCTGTCCCAGCTGTGTCCCCTCCCAGGTCCTTGTGCACCCCCAGCCTACTTGCTGGCTAATAGGGGGTGTGAGGTCTTGACTCTGTGTAAGCGCTGATCAGCAATAGAGTGAAAACATCCCTGAATTAACAACACTGTCTCCAAAACACAAATACAAAACACAGCTCCATACCAGATGCTATGAATAAAATTAACTCTACCCCAGCTAAAACCACCACAACAGGAAACTGAAAACTTTCTCTTCTCTGATACAGCATTAGTTACATGTTTTCCAGTGTATCATTATTACACCAACAGGTTAATTCCCACATCTAGAGTACATGATGAACACCACATCTGCTCCAACGGCCAGTCCTGTAGCTTCTGTACCATTAAAGATCACCTTTAAGGTGCTATTTGAAGGTTGTCAGGCATGAGCTCAGTGCTAGGCTTTACATTAACTGAACATTGCTTGTATGAGCTGGATTTGGTTGCAAATGCCTTCAAGCACCCATCGTTCACAAGACTTGATAGTCCTAATGAATCCTCCTTGTCTAGGTTTACTCTCATGGTTAAAGACAGCACCCACACAACATTAGCGATGTCTCTGGCATTTACTGTCTGGGTCAGAAAGAAACAGGACTACTGTAGGGCAGTTTTCCCCCTCTGTAGTGGTGTCTCATGACATCAGTATTTCAACTCTCTATTAAACCTTTCCAAAATTTCCACAAACCAATCCCAAAACACTTTTTTAAGGTGTCCGGCATGAGAAATATCAAAAAATACAGTTACATCCATTGATTTATAATTAAGGGAAAGGCACCAAGGAAAAAATTACTGCTGGACTAGATTTATACCACTGACTCTAGGCATATGTGTCAGATTTTTTTTGTCCTGGGATCTCCAGGCAATGTGAAGAGACAGGATTTCCCAGATATTATTCAGTGCGGCACAGGACTCTCATCTGGAGGGGTGAAAGCCCGTGGATCATAGCATCTTAACCCTGGCACTTTGAACAAATTCTTCACTATGAGGGTGGTGAGTCACTGGCACAGGTTGCCCAGAAAAGCTGTGGCTGCCCCATCCCTGGATGTCAACCTGGCCTTCACATCCATTAAGGCCAGATTGGATGGGGCTTTGAGCAACTTGGTCTCGTGGAAGGTGTCCCTGTCCATGGCAGGGGATTCGAATGAGATGAGTTTAAGGTCCCTTCCAATCCAAACCATTCTGTGATTCTATGAGTCTATGGAATGTTTGAATTCAAGCTAGGAAGTTGGCCAGGTACCATCAGGCTGGTTGGTTCAAAACCCACCCGAGGGATACCAAGTGAAGGCTGAGGCATCTTTGTTCACTGATGCCTGCTAAGGAGCTATTCCAGATGCCACAGAAAAGGAGTTTGCTCCTGAAGAATCCTGTTACTCAGTGCTTGTCAGTCCCTGCAGCTGAACAGCTGGGCAAGCATGGCTGCTCAGTGGCCCTGCAGTGTGTGTCTCTCCACGTTGGCAGTGACTTACAGGTGCAAAGTCATATGTATGTGTATTTTGGTTTCATAGGGAGCAAAGTGAAATGTCTGTCTTCTGACACATCAATTCTCTCAGGATTCAGAAAGGCACTGAGCTGGGTAGTCATAGTGCTGATCTTGACATGAGACATACACTGGAAGTGGTATACATTGACTTAACTTTAAACATTTCTGGTTAAGGTATCTCCCTCTGAGCCCACCATCCAGACTCCCATTACAACCAGCAGGGAGAGAGAGGCAAAGAGCGTGATTCATCTCCTATAGACAGCTGGATTAGGAGGAGACGAATTACACTCTCAGCAGGCATTTCTCTCTGCTGAGTGCACAGGGAGTCTAGACAAGTTGCTCAGATGGAGATATCTCATGTGGGAAGAGCTGATTCCAGTGTAGGTACCCAAAAACATCTTACAATGCTTATGATGATGATTTGCAGACTGCCAGGCAACAGCTCAAGCCGGCCATCCCATGGAAGTTTTGGAAGTGTTTGTTGGCTCCAAGATCACCCTTCTCTGCTATTGCTAAAAGCCACTTCTGGAACTCAGTGGGTTAGTGAAAGGGTGAACATTTCCCAGGATTTCTTCTCCAGCTGTTGACTTTGCTCATTTTAAAGCCGTTTGTGCATAGTCAACTTCACATCCTACCTGTGTTGAATCAGTAAGTTCCTTGCTTGCAGCACCAGCAAGGAGAAAGAAATCAAATAAACCACAAAAATGCAATCACCAAACCATGACAACTGAAATCACCAGAGTTCTCCCCCCATGAGACCTGTTCCATACTTCTCTGTGTTTGGCCAGTGACTCACACGTGTGCCTGTCCTTGACGGGGCAGCACAGGCTCTGCACCCATGTAGCCTGCTCACAAAAAGCCCTATTCCGAATGGCTGAGGACCAGTCACAGTGTTGATCTAGGAGACAGATATTGCTGAAGTAGGTATTTCTTTCCTTCATCAGTCTCTTCCAGGGTTGCCCAGAGCATCCATGAGCAACGCATGCAGCTGAAAAGGATCCCTCGCAGTTACATCTCTGGCACTTGCACTGCTTCCAAAGTTTACATTTCCCCTT